CACGAAATCCTTAACAACAATTATTATCTCACTGCTGTGTGTCACCAACCTTTAGGAAAAGCATTCTCTGTGCTGGACACCTCTCTGCTGGGTGAGGAGCAGGGTGAGCCCTCAGCTCTCAGGCACAGCTCCCTGTGAACAGGGACATTATCCTAAGAACAGGCTGGAATCAGCATGCACCCCCTTTGGACAGCCAAGCTGGCAAGTCACTGTGCCCTGGTGCAGCAGAGCTGCTGCTGAGAACTGCGTCAGAAAACCTGACACAGCAGCTGCTTCTTCCTGCAAACACATTTAAGCTGCTGCTTAAGTAAATGGCTTAGGAAAATAAGCACCTTATCCCCAAGTCGTTTTCCATTTCCATTTATTTTACAAGGCATCGTTCACACAATGATAACAAGGTACTGATCTGAACAATTCTGTAACAATTAAAAAAGTAAACATTTGTTGTGACCAGGTACATTGAATTGCACTTTTAATAACAAGCATTACACTTATATTTCCATTTTGCACTTTATGTAATACATGGATGTGTTACCTGAATGGCTCTCAGTTGGAAGTGTGACCTCTCTATGATGCTCTTTTTTCCCTGACTCCTCAGGATTTGTGAACTTGGGACACGCCCAGATCACAAAGGCAACCCCAAATCTGGGAAACTTCATTGTCATGGAGTCAGAGCTTTGGAGCTGCTCTGTTTTTAGTGTGCTGGAGCGAATCCACCTTAATGGCAGACACAGAGGGAGATGATTATGCTTGATTAGAAATTTTCTGCATTCATATGTCATCTTTTCCCAATTCAAAGAAGCCAGAGCATTTTCTTCCATGGGAAAGCAAGAGTTTCTAAAGCTCAAGAGTGCTCCTGGCTCAGCTTTCAAGGGTGCTACAGCAGAATTGCAAACCCAGGGGTAACTGAAAGGCAGGAATTGAGATCTGAAGAAAAATCTGGGAACATCTGCTGTGGTTTGCATTGGTAGTACCATCCATGTATTATATAAAATACAAAAATAAGAGAAACTGTAAGGAAATTAGTACAGCCCAGGATTCTGGTGGTATCAAATGAAATTTATGACACCAAATCCTTTTGATGTATTTATCCCCTTGTCGTTCTGTTTCTTATATATTATTCTATATGCAAGATATAGTTCTCCAAAGATACATATATATTCCTTTACAGGTTAAATAAAAGCAAGTCACACTGGAATAAGAAAATAATAAAAAGTAATATCCTAATTCTGTACCCATTTTTTGTTTTTCAGGTAAAAATAGCATGAAATACATTCAGTAGCAAAGCCATTGGGACCCAGGAGAAATGGAGAGCCCTGTATTCCTGGAGAATTGGCCTGTATGTGTTAAGTCACAATCCTGAAATAAACTGTGTAGACTGCTGACCTGGGAAGGATCAGGTCTTGATCAATGCGGAGCATTATTTATCCAGTTGCAAATTCCTTGCATTTCCCAAAAGCCACCTGTGGATCAGCTCAGTTCTAAAGGCTGCTGTGACCTCCACCTCCCCTAACACCTGAGAGATCCAAACTTGAGTGTTTCATCATGTCTCCCCTTAGTGTTATTACCTGGAAGAGCTAATGGGACAGTTCCCAGTAGGATATTAGCACAACAGAGTGACAAATAAATTAGTTTTAACCTCTGTGTTTGCACATCTGGTGCAGCAGCCCCCTCAGCAGGGTCCAGCTGGGACAGAGGGTGCTTGTCAGCTACAGCAATCCCTCAGAGCTGAGGGAACATCTCTGCCCTCTCTTCACAATCAATCAGACATGACACTTACTATGGTTTTCTCTCCAGCAGCTGGAAGAACACCAGCGCTGTCAGGTAACAGTGCTTCTGGTATCAAAGCCAAGGTGTTTAGGCTTAAGGAGATGGGGCAGAAGTTGCCAGTTATCCCTGAGTCTAACAGTAAATGAAAATCCTCTGAGTAAATGAAAATCACCTGATTGTAGTTCTCCCATGCATACAAGTAGTTTCATGGATTTCACTGCAGCTACTTAGTAGAAGGAAGGGAACAGCCCCACCTCGATCCTGTGGAGAAAGCATGGCATGTGACTGCCAAATGTTGATACTTTAGTGCCAGTAAATGCAGATTTTTATTTACTCCTAAACTACAACTTTCAGTCAATGAGTGGCATCAGACCCTGAAGTCAATGGGGCACTTCATGCTTTGTGAAGGGGCTGAACTCTTGCAATTCTTGATTTTTTATCTCCATCTCCCCTTGTAAATGGCTGGCTTTATTTCAAGTTGTTCTTAACACAGTAGCAGAGATGATCACTTATCTTCAAAGAAATTTCAAGGGCCAAGTAAGAGAAGTAATTTAAAACACCTAACAACGAAAAAAATACTGCATACCTGTGTAAGCACTTTAACTTAGTTGTAGTAATGTAACTCAGCTGTAGCAAATTAAATCCTCATTAATGGGTGGGACAAGGGTGGGTTTGTCCACTGGCAGTACTGATTTCATGGCTGACCACCTTTCCTGAGACTGTTTCTGCCAAACCCTAATGCAGATGCACCTCAGGGATTTCACAGTTTCTTGGCTTCTCTACACATGGTATTTTATTTTTTTCTTTTTATTCCTCTCCAGGTACATTTAGAAATGTAAACTAAGTGGAATAAGTCCTATTACTTTAGAATATTAAGTTTAGTTCACAAAGATAATACAAGACTAGTTCACAAATGTACCACATAACTAAATCAGCCTTGCTTCATTTAGCCTGTAAAGTGTTACAGTCAAAGGAAAACCAACATTTTAAAGTGAAAAGGAGGACTTCCCCCCCCCCCCCCCATATTGGGCATCACAGGAAGAGATTGTAGTCCAACAAGATAAAAGTTGTAGTAAAAATATTCTTTGGAGGTTTGTTCCTAATCAAAGTAAAGACTTTATTTCAGAATGGTGCATTCTTAATAAAATTTAAAAATAGGTTTTAGTTCCACATACATATTTATAAAATTCAAATTAATTTTAATAAAAGTTTGATCTGAACACATAGTTTACTACAGACTCAGGGAAAAAAGGTTGATCACTCCAGATTTAGGAGCTATGTTAGCTGTTCCAGTGCCACATGGAAACAACAGTTTCAGTGAGACCTTGATGATATTTCCTGCTGAAAATCTGAGCAATAAGCCAGCTATCCCTGACAAATCCACCAAGGATATGTGTGTAGCTGGTTCTGTCACTAAGAGATCTCTTTTCTTGCAGGAAACTAAATTTCCCAGTAGCATCTATAGTCAGCAGATAGAATTTTAGCTTGCCTGATTTAACCATGGAGTCCTGCTCCTTTCCTTCATTCTGAATATTCATCAACATAATGCCATAGAGCTATTTGCTTACTCTTTCAGTATATGCTGAGAAGATGCAGTTTCCACCTAAATTTTAATCTTCCAAATGCCATTGCTACAAATGCTACCTTGGATCTACAGCTGGAAGGTGGAAATTGTTTAGTGCCTTTAGGGTCATTGCTTTCTGAAACTTCCTTTGGCTGAGGTAAGCCAGCTTCCATCTGTACAAGGGCTTGAACTCATCATGGCTAGCAGGTAGCAAAAGCTCAACTTCCAAAGTCAGAAAGCAGCTACACTGAGATAATGGATGTTGTGTCAAAGCTCATTCTGTGAAAAGTGGTGACCTTTTTTACCAGTTCCTTTTTGATGAATTTGGAGAGTCCCACTCCCATGATCTGCTCATTGGACCCTTTGAGGTGATTTAACTCATTCACTTGACAAAAGATGAACTGTAGGGGGATAAATTCACCCACATCTTCTTTTGTTGTTGTTTTTAATTATCTCCAGTACATACTACAAGGACAAGGGACAGGACTGTACAATGGGTGAGCAAGAGTGAGCTCTTAACTCATCTGCTCAGGGAATCATAGCCTAACACATTTCTTTACCCATTCTTACTGAACTTTTCCAATTATGGTTTTAAATCCACTTGTAAGTATTATTTAAGATAAATGAAATGAGAAATTCAGACACTTGTCAAATAACCAGTTTCCCTCATAGGCATAGTACTCTCAAATGCAACAATCAGATGTTCACCAGGTCTCCTTAAATGTCACTTCAGATTTATTATGAATTCAGATTCACATTCTGAATGTGAAACAGAGCTGGTAAGTGAATGACTAACACTGGGTTTAGTCAGTCGAGAGAATGGAAACATTTATGCAAATATTATGAGCAAGACAGTGACAAGGGAAAAAGACCTTTGATAACATTTGCAGAAGAAATACCTTCTATTTTTTTCCCTTTTTGTTCCTCACTGTATTAATAATTCCAGATAATCACTGTCTTGAAGGTACATTTTAAAATATTAAAGTTTTTAACCCCTTATTCTTAGAAGAGAGAATTGTGTCAGGATGGTGATTATATTTTGATCTTGACTTCTATCAGCTGACTGCCTTTTGGAATTTTTCCTTTGGCACTGATAACATTAAATTAGTACTACCCTGTCGAAAATAATTCACAATTATGCTTGACAACAAAGCACAAGATGGGTATTATTAAATTTTATTGCACAAAACTGACAATGTATGGCATTCCTTAGAATTAAAAAAAAAAAAAGGATCAAAACAGAACTAGTGTCCCTGGAAAAATCTTGTAAATGAAACAATTAATACACAACATTTAGTCCAGCAATGACATTTACCTGCAAGACCATCTTCAGACATGACACGTATAATTAAAAAAATATTCCATCAGTTCAAGCAATAGTTTAATTTTCCATGAAATAAGTATTTCTATGAACACTTTATGTTTAGTCAAAACAAATGCTTTTGAACTTTCTTACCTTAAGAGATATAAAACAACCAGACAGGTTTGGGAATCACCAGAGAAGTCTACCCCCACAGGAAAGTCTAGGGCTTGTATTTCACTTGAAAATGCTTGTTTTTATAAAAATAAGTAATACCAACAAAGTGTTTCCAAGCCAAACACTTCTAGCAAACAGATCTTGTTTCTATGGTATTTCATTCATCAGTGCAGCACAAACCTCTTGTGTACCTCATTTCTGTGTCAAATTTGGAATCTGAATATAGACCCAGGGCAGAGTTTTCATTACTTTTATTCACAAAACCTACCCTTTATTGCACAGGATTTACAAAAGGTCAAAACCATGCAAGGTCTCTGCTCTGCTTCTCAGCAAAAACATCAAATAAGTGTCAAAATCGTTCTCCCTTTATCCCAGTGGAAGGAATTATTCCTTGGAATTCTTAATATAAACATGAATTTAAAAAAGGGAACTAGGGAACTTTAGGTTAAATTCCAGTTGGGCTGTAAATAGCTTTTAAACAACGGTGTTACAAAAACTGCACTGCTTGTATTTCTGAAGAAAAACCAATCCAAAGGAAGGAGTTGTAAGGGAAGCTCATAGCAATTGTGCCAGGAGAGCACAAGCCTACCTTTGCTATGGCCTAAGCTTTACAAAAAGTGCTTTTCTGCAGGATGCAGTTGCTGAGATAAACTTCTGAGATGGTCCCAGGGCCTAAGTTATCCTCAATGTCTTACACTGTGCTTTCTAGGGAGAGATGATGCTGCAGTACTGTACATTTTCCATTCTCTCTCTTCCTCCAGAAGAAGAAAAAGCTTCTATGCAAGACAATAATAATTTCAAATTAGATGTGTATTAAAGACCTAGTTTTGAAATATTTATTTAACATCTAGTCATATAAAATAAAGTGTAAAAGTATGAAGGTATCGGAACGTGGCTTTCAGCAAGGCAGTATGGGAAGTAGGAACTCAACATAAACCAGGACATTTTTTCCCCCCTTTGAAAAAGGGTCACATCAGAAAATGAATGAAAAACACTGAAGAATTTCACTTCAAGCCTGCACTCCTGCCTCATTGTCCTTTGCCCAGGAGGAGAGACCAGTGGAAGAATCCTCCCAGGTTTGTGTTGTTCTTTGTGCTCTGGGGCTGGCCGTGGCTGGACTATGTGCTGCCCTCTCTGGGAGGCACCGGCGGCTGTGGCGGCGGCGCCTGTGTGCCTGTGGCCGTTTTGATAGAGTTCAGCGTTTTGCTAAACCAAGAGTTTTTGGCAGCTTGGATTTCATTCATAAGGGCTCCTCTCTGGTGCTCCAGCTCCTAAGAAAGCAGAATAGTCAGAATTGATCAAAACCTCATTAATTAAAAAAGAAGCATCCTCACACTCAGTCCCTGCAGTCCGGCACTTACTTCCCTTGCAATCTCCCAGGCACTGGGGAGAGAAGACATTCAAACTGCTGAAACAGCAACAGATATTTAGACACACACAAAATCATCCTCTTCTTTTTAAGACAGCTTTTTTTTTTGGAAGTTCAGATATACAGGCATGCAGGTATGTGCTCCCTTTTGGAACAATTTTTTGTGTGATTCAGAACAATTTTGGACTGAGCATGAGGTTAAGGTAACCACCCTGCTGTACTTGGACCAATTTTTTGTATGATTCAAAATAATCTTGGGCTGAGCATGAGGTTAAGGTGACCACCCTTCTGTACTTGGATTCCACATACCTGAATTTTGCACTTGGCTTCCACGAGCTGCAGTTTGGTCTGTGCAAGCTCCAGCTCCATCTCTCTCAGCTGCTTCTTCAGTGCATCCTTCTCATCGTCTGTCTCGATGCCTTTGTTGTCCGTGCTTACAGCAGGCACCTTCAGTGCCCCCTCCTTGCTGAAAATCTCACTGCAGTGTTTGCAGGCCATCACTTTGCCCTGAAATACCCAGAAAGCTCATTCTTAATCTATGTTACAGGAGTTGTTCTACTTCCTGGAAGAGCTATTTTACTTGTCAGACTGCCTCAATCTCAAATCATCTAGTACTGCAGTTTTTATAATTGGCACAAAAAGAATTTGAGTAGTTCATGAACAATTTCCAGGGTACGTTAACCAGTATAAAAATTCCTAAAATTTACTTAGTATGCTCTAAGCACACAGACTTTGCTCCTATATTAGAGTCTTCTTGCTACCAAAGCTTTGTAATATTTATGTCAGCACAACTCAGAAGAGTAAATTATGTCTGAGTAGATGAAACAGCTGGCCTGGCTTGCATAGACTAAATCAGGCTATTGAGCTATTTCAGCAGAATATAGGAACATCAATCCTAGAATTATTTTATGTTATTATCAATAACATTATAAAGTCACCAAAAAGTAACAAATCCAGTTCAGCTTGAGTACTAAAGAAATATATAGAAGCTACAGCATAGGGTAAACAACTCTGCCTAGTCAGAATTATTATTATTATTAATATTGTTATTATTATTACCACCTATCAGGAAACTTTTAACTCTTATATAGGTGTTCCTGGTAAGAGTTTAGAGAAGGGAGAGAAGCCCCTGTGGATATTCTGGGGATAACCCTAGCTGTGCCATTTGGTTTAATTACTTAAACCAATTCTACTTTAATTACAGAAACCCAAATGTATAAACTTTGTCCAATCTGGCCAATTCCAATCCCTCTGCTGTGCACACTTGAGAAACAACATGTTTTGTCTTCTTTTTTTTCCCATTTAATAAAAACATCCAAGTAAATATTGTTTTCTCTACGTTTTTACCAGAACCATATATTTTAACAGCAAAAAGAAAAGCCAAGTACTAAATACACTTCCAGTTTGAGAGTTCCATAGTCTCTGATGCAAGAAAAAGAACCATGAAAGGAAATAAACCCTTTCCTTGTTTACATCTGCTGAAAAATGCATGTGGGGCTATGTGCTTTAAGTTCAGCTCCCACTTCAGTTCTGTACCCCTGGCATTCAGCAACACCTGTGTCAGAAACACCCCCTGTGCAGAGACACTGTTCTCACCTTCACAACTTCCAGTTCATCCTTACTGGCTGCTTGTTGCTTCTCCAGCCTGGTGCTCAGCTGGGAACAAATCTGGAGCAGAGAAAGCAGTCTCTTAGCTCAAGTTTATTATGCTGAAGTGGAATCTGTGTGGTTTTTAACAAGGGTTTTTGCTAGAACCAACATTTCTTAAATTCTGCCTCAGTATATGCATTCCCCCTGTAACAACTCCGCTGTTGCTGCTAATGATAAAAATCCAGCTGTATTCAATACAAAACCAGAATACAGAGACAGGGACATTTTATGGATGAGTTGGTTGATGATGTTTGTACTGCATTATGTCACAAAGTACAGAAGCATTCACCCTACAGTACTAAAATTAGCTGAAAGACAGGTTATTCCTGACTGCCTAATTAGGAGACTATTAGGAAAGCCACAAAAAGATTTATGACAAATTACAACATTGCTCTCTGAAAGCCTGAAAGGTGGAGCTTGTTTGACGGATGAGATCTGCAATGCTGAAAATTCAGCCCTTGTAACAGGTTGAAAGAAGAAATATGAGAGAGGGTCTCTGGAATGGTACCTGTTTATACTCTGCAATAATGGCTGTGGTTTTCTTGATCTCAGATTCTGCCTTCTCCAGCTGCTTCCTGAAGACTTCCTTCAGCTAGGGATTGAAGGAGAGAAGTTACACAGTACACTGACAGAACTTCCCAAAACGTGTCATCACATTGCTTTCTTTGTGTCTGGCTGTGTTTCCAACAACTCTACAGCTGCTGCTTATGAAATTCCAGTTCTCAGACAAGTGTCTGATTTACTCAGTTTACAAATACTGATTATATCAGTGATAACCAAGAAGTCTATACTGTGGTTATAACCTTTATCTCTGGTTAGAGAATTCTCCTGTAACTTAATTCCCATCCTCTGTGTTAAATGGTGGTATATCATGGCCCACAGAACACAAAGAAAAGCATTACTATTAAGTGGGGTGTACTGATTTAGTTGTTGTTTTTCTGCACACTGTCACAGCAGGTTTGGCCAGATTGTTTGTTTGTTTGCAGATGGAACAAGAAGAATCTCTCAACACTGTCATTTCCATAGCAGGAGGAAAATAAATCTGCTTGGGTCTGTGTCACTGAGTGAAAACACAGGTAACTCATCCTCCTTCAGAACCACTCCACTTGGAGAGGCCTTGGAGTAGGAAAAGAAGCTCACTGCCTTACTTATGGCAAACAGAGAGCTCCATTTTAGAGAGACACAATGAATTAACATTAATTGTTGCAGTCACTGTTGCCAAAGAGCAAAAATAAAAATCAAGGTATCACTTTTGAAATCTGCATGTTAGATATATAGGATTACAGAACAAAGACTGAGAATTTTGCAGCTGAGTAGAAACCAGGTTTAGTCAGCAAACTTCTCCCACCCCTGTTCTTCTGCTGTTGGCTTCAGGCAGGAACATTATTTAAGTGATCCAGCAGCTGAATCCAGAATGGGCTCTTAAAAGGCAACAACTCCTCCAGCTCCTTCATTTTGATGTTTAAGAGGTCTGATCACATCTCCTTAGCTGAGACTGCTCACCACCAGTGACAACAATCATTACAATGCTTGTAAGAGGATAAGCTATGAAAAACTAAACATTCAAAGCTCAATTAAAAAAAAAAAAAAACCTACTGAAAAATGTACTTTGGAAAAAAAATTACCCTGGCACTACAAACTTTTACTTGAAACTGCATTTTCAAATGAAGACAAAATCATTTTCACGATTGCAACACATCCACACTTTTCTGCATATAATTTTTCTTGCATTTACTAACTAAATGGTAAAAGCTGGAGAATGCCTTACCTGAGCAGTTTCCTCTTCCTGCTTCCTTTTCTCTTCCTCAGTCTCCACTAGCTTCTGTTTGGTCACAAGAAGTTCCTTGTTCAAAACATCTGCTTTGTCTTCAGCCTAGAGTCAGAGACACTTGTGTAAGTCAGATGTTCTCCGTGCCAGTACAAACGCACTGGGAAGCACAGCTCAGAAATACACCAGGTTCAGGTTTTAGCATTGCCTTTTCCTGCCTTCTAATGGCACATGTAACTTTTTGATATGAAATCCCCATTTACTGAATTATTTCACTGTGATTCAACACCTGTGCAAAAGGATCCTTAGGCCAATTGTTTACCTATGCCCAGGTGGCACATAAACAGATAATATATCCTAGCACAAACAGTGATGTACAGAATTTTTGTTAGGAGCAATATTAATCTAAGTGAGGGCAGCATGATTTACCTCCTGTGTAACTTCAAATAACTCATCCAGTTTTTTAATCTGTCAGCAGGGAAAACATAACTGTAAAATACTTAGGTGCATTGTACCCTACAAAGTGATCAGGCAAACGCAAGTGTAAGAGACTATCAGGACCACCAGGAAAATGGTTTATTGGTGCAAATAACTATTATGTGAAGAAACCTGATAATTGAGAATATAATTTTCTCTGGAAGGACCAAGCTTGTGGTGGCACACACTGGGAATCCTTTGTTTTTGTGAGCACTGTCCTCACTGATCATCAGGAGAGAAATTACAATACATCCAAACATTTCTCAATGTTTGGATTTATTCTGTAGGCCTCCCCAGCTGGAAACACACATAGCAGTCACCACCCTTCCTGTTCAGTAATGAAGTCCAGACAGGAAATGGTTGTGGCCAATTAACACTGACTTTGCTGAAATTACAGGAGGGAAAAGGGCATTGGAAACAAGTAACCATATAGAACTTGTCTCTGAGCTGAAGTTTGGTTTTCTACTGCTGTGGTGGTATAAGCCCTTCTGCTACAGTAATAATGATTAATGAGGATATTAGTGGTGTTTGAGGGCAGCAGAACCAGCTCCACCATCTCTATGACTGAAGAGATGGATTAAGGATTTCTTCATTGCTAAGTGTGTATAACGTGTATGGGAGGGGAAAGGAAAACAAACGGTGCAAGAATGGAAAACTGATGAGATTAACATCTTAGAACAAAAGTATTTAGGGATTACAAGGATATTTATGATGAAAGACCTGTTTAAGATATGCTTTGAAGGAACTTCAAATTTTTCCTCCTTTTTTGTGCTCATTCCAGTTTCTCCTAGCACCTGCAGTGTAGAAAGAGGGGATTCAGTGTGTGGTTCTCTGAAAACCATTGTGTCTGGGGCAAAGGGCTCTGAAAGCTGCTGCCCTCCACATTCCAGTCTCCACAGGGAACACCAGCAGTTATCAGTGAACACCCAGGAGCCCGTTGAATTTGTGGTGCTGTGCCACTTCATTATCTCTGAATTTTGTTGGCTGTTCTAGAAGTGCTGTGAAAAACAGATCCACACAGACATTTTGCAATGCTTGAAACTACTCTCCCAAGAACTACATGACACCTTTTTCAAGGAAATGTTTGTTCTTTGCTATCTGCCTAAAGGTTATGGCCTACATTTTCTAAACTATCCCCAACGGAGGAGATGCAATCAGTCTTGGCCAGACCCCACTGAGTGCCTACAGTGGCACATGGAAATACAGCTGACTACAGCTAGGAGTGAGGCTGTCAGGAAAATAAAGGCAAAAATAATTACACTTTGAATGTGTTCATGCTTTCACTTGAGCACAAAGCAGGGCTCCTCCTGAGCTGGGAGCCAGCTCAGTTCCCCTTACCTGGTCCAGGTCATTCCTTAAGGCAATTTTGCTGGTCACAAGCTCATGGGCAAGGTCATCGTTCTCCTGCTCCAGCCTCATGCTTGCTTCTTGGAGCCTGCGGTTCTCCCTCTGTGCAAAGAGAGGAACAACCAGGAAAGGAAATTAATCCTCAGGAAGAGCAATGAGCAAGTGCATGGTATGTGCCAAACATTGAGAAGGCAGGAGTGCACATTAAGACAGGACTGCTGCTCTGGGAAACAACAGTGAATTAAGCCAGCAGTGCAAATGCAGCTATTCCACTTCCATCCCACTGGTTTGTGATGTGTAAGGGACACACTGATTGTAGTGTTTCCCTGTCAAAAATAAACACTAATCTCTCCACAAAAGCACTTGGTTTCTGCTTGCTCATCATCTAAAGATATCAGGCAGATAAATCCCACCCAGCAGCAGCGAACAGGGACCAATTAACAGTTACTCATAATAATGCTTCCAAGCAAAGTAGAAAGCTGCCCTGCTCCACTTTACAAAATCCTGCCTGCAGGGATCCATAAAAATAGTCCACTTTGTAGGTGAGGCAATGCCAACTTCCCCTCTCCTGTGAGGCCAGCAAAGAACAGCATTCAACAGGGAACTCCCTACAGCTCCAACATCCTGTATCACCATTTGTGCACTGCTCTGCACCTCCTGCCACTGACACCAGAGTGTCCCTTACAGTGCCAGGTGGAGAGAGGAGCTCATCCCTCAGCCCAGTACCTGCTGGGGGCAGTGACAAGAACACAAAATGCACAACTTGTGCTGCAGGCTCTTGCTTCACTGCCCTCCCTACCCACTCCACACAGGCAGAAATGACTACCTGGAGCATTAACCACGGGAGGTGAAGGAACAGGAGAATGAACAGTCATTCACATCTTTTAGAAATCTGTGTCTGCTGCTCTAGAGCTGAGAAAAAGAACCATGTTCAAAAGATGCCTGTGGGTCAGCAGACTTCTGGGGGTTAAACATCAAATACAACTCCTAATTTTCAGAAGAACACAGCCAGGTGGGACAGACAAGAGGTGCCTTCCTCCAAATGGATTTTATGAGAAAAAAACTGTGCTGGCTTTCCATCACTGTCTATCTTTTATACCAAACAGGCTGCAAAGGGAATCTCTGCATTATGGAAATTCAAGGAAAAGCACCACGTTCATTTGGGAACTCATAGGTGGAAAAACAATAACCTATATGCTGAGATTTCAAAAAGGACTTTATAACTATAGAGAAAGATAACTATGTTCTCCAAAACAGAACAGTGAAAGTCCAAATATATCAATTAAAGTCCATGATATATAATAACATATATATTAGCTCTTGTAACATTTTTCAAGAGTTGTTCAGTGAATGCATTCCTACAAAATGATTTCTTGCATAAGTTATTCACCTGTTTTCACTTCTTCCTATTCACCAGCTATGAAATTGCAATTTTTTTTTCTGTTGCAAGCAGATTTTGCATGTTTGCCTTAAACAAAACCAGGAGCTCTAAGAGGATGCAAATAAAGGTCTCTTCTGTGTGGGAACTTCCTCTGTGGCAGGAAGTGGAACCTCTACAAATTTTCTCTTGTTAATGTGACCCTATTGTGTAACTAGAATAGGCACTGCCCTGTACAGGGAAGTAAGATGGTTTCCCTTCCAAAAGATTGTACTTTGAATAACTTGTTTTGTACAGAAGCTAAATAAAATGCCTTTGTCTTAACACAGCTAAAATAACCAGTGCTAAAACACACACAACTTTAGGGATCTTTCTTATTTTAAATGCACTTTAGTCTGTTTGGGACAAAGAATTTTAAAAATCAAAAGTAAATTTTTTCTCTAAACATAATATAAGCTTTAAAGCGTAAAACCAAATTGCAGTCAATAATGATAATACTAATAACATCTCTAACACATAAAGATGTGTTTTGTTCAGACCATCTTAGAAATGCTGATTTTTACAGACACGGCTCTGCTGGTTGTCAGAACCTGAGTTCACCTAAAACTTGAGACCTGAGTCAGACCAGGCTCTGCAGCACCAATACCTTTTCACAGGGACGTTACTTAGAGGAAAAAAGCAGAAAGTTCTTATGACTTTGACAAAATAACCGAGTTGGCTTTACCATTTTTGGTCTGTCTTTGCCAAAAGCTTCAGTGTCTGCCAAGCAAGGCACGCAGTGTGAGCTGAGAGTTCCTGCTTTGCATTCGCAGACAAGTGGGTAAGCAAGCTCTGTGCTTGGAAATGCACTATCCTCCTCTTAAACCAGGATTCACATGCCAGGTTGGAAGTGAGTTAAAGATCGCTTACCTTGGGCATCCAGTCAATAGCTACAGGATGTTTTTAGCTCATACACCAAACTCCAGCTGAAAGGCTCTCACAGGACCACCTTTACTCCTCCTCCGCCCAGGGCAGAATGCCTGATTAGCTGGTTTGTCTTTCTCAGCTCCTCCCCCCAGGTCCAGCAGTGTAAAACTGCCTCCCTTCTCAGGGGGAAACTCTTTAGTCTGCCTAAGTCTAAATAAAAACTAACAGGACACAGTAAAGACAGAAAGAGCAAACAGCGCTCTTCACATGCAGCAAACTATCTCCATAGGCTGTGAAATGTTTAGAGTTTTATGAAATATGCTCACAATGACAAAGTTCAGCAGATGGAGCTGGTCTGTCACAGCAGGACTCACATCAGAGGCAGCATTTGTAATGGCATCAGCCAACTAGTCAGACCTGCTAGTTGTCCCTGGTGTAAACAGACAGCTTCCTGCCTCATCTCCACAACACTACATTTACTATGACAACCATTTCCTTCTCCTCAGTCTCAGAAACTGCTCAGTTTCTATAGTAAAATAACAGATCTCGCCTTCCCAAATTCCTCCTCCTGGTTACTGAAGGTGGCTGGTGAAGTCAGGTTAGCTTTTAAAAGGAGGATACTGCATTTCCAAAGAGGACAAACAAAGCTGATACACACAAACACAAATCAACTTACCTCCTGTAAAGTCACAGACCAAATACTGCTTTCAACCATTGGTGTAAACACAGTGAAAACAGGATATAAAGAAATTTCTAATACAAAAAAAAAAAGTTGCTTATTCTTCACTGGGTTTTTTGTCAAGAGTTTTAGAGAGAGATGCTCCCGCTTCCATCACACACGGGGTGGAAAGAAGATGACAAGCTCGAAAGCAGTAGGCAAGCCTCAGTTCAGGATGACTGAAAGGCTGAACTCCACCCTCTGCTCCCTTCCAGGCTGCACCAAGGACCAGTTCCTGAGGAGATTAGTGGCCATGATGCATCCTCTCTGTGCTGTACAAGTGGGGTGTAATGAGTCACCAACCTCCTTAAGCAATTCTGTTTCTGTTCAGCAACACCCTGTGCTGGCTCAGGGAGGGTTAGTTTCCTTCATGGTGGTTAGTACATGTTGGCTTTGTGCTGGAAAAGGTGTTGATAGGACAGAGATGGTTTGGTTACTGCTGAGCAGGGCTTGCACAGAGCCAAGGCCTTTTCTGCTTCTTGTAGCTCCTCACCAGTGAGGGGCTGGGGGTACACACCGAGCTGGGAGGAGGCACAGCTGATCCCACCTGCCCCCAAGGGACAGTCCAGCCCACATGGCACCAGGCTGAGTGTGTAAAGCAGGGAGAAAAAGAAAGAGGGGGGAACCTTGGAGTGTTGGCATTTGGCTTCTCAAGTCACTGATATGTGTGATGGAGCTCTGCTCTCCCGGAGATGGCTAAACAACCACCTGCCTGTGGGAAGGGGTGGCTGAGTTCCTTGTTTCCCTTTATCTACTGACCTGCCTTTATCTCAACCCACAAACCCACAAGTTTTGTCACTATTATTCTGGGGATTCTCTCCCCCACCCTTGTGGTGGAGTGAGCAAGCAGCTGCCTGAGTTAAATCAAGACATCCAAACCCCAGATCTCTGAGTGTGAACAGCTCCTCAATGATGGAATTAAAACATTATTAAAAATCACTTTCTGGACATGAGCAAACCGAGGTCTTTGTAAACCCAATGGAAAGGGCTCTTGATGTTGGAGGAGCTCCAAAGGAAAATCCTGTGAGCGTCCATCCAGAAACCCAAAAAGCTTTTACAGCAAGTGATCCAGGGAAGCCTCTCAAGGTAAGCAACACAGAGGCTCCTGGAGGCAGCTGTGTTTTCTGTTTGGTGATTCTGGAGAAGCATTCCCCAAAGTGCCCCAGCACAAGTTTTAAATAAACAACAGACAATGTCCCACAGCAAAACTCATCATGATTTTCCTCATGGTTAACATTCACTTGCCCTGACTGAATAAAAATGATCAGTGTATTCATTTTTGCTTCCCCTTCAAAACACAGAGGAGGCTGTTACAGAGAAGGCTATTATGTCCAAATTACACATTTATTCACACAACTTCTCCATTGCACAATGAGGTCGACAGAGGAAAAGGTGGAACAGAACAGCAGCATCTGCTTGCAAAACTCCAGCCCTTCTTTGTACAACTACTTCCTCTTTATTTTACATCAGTTCCCAGGCTCACTTCTGGAATTTTCTCATCAAGTCAACCCAAATTTTCTTACATGAGGCATTCTCAAACACAGAAATAAAACTCCATAATATTTAGAAAAACATCAACCTGAAATCTATTACTATTTTTTCTACACATATGACTCACTTTTCTTCCTAGCTTCTATAGGGAATTTGTAATTTAACTAAAAGTTACAAAATTTGGTGACGAACAACAGTTTAGAACATATTTCACTTTTGCACCTTTTAAAAATCTGACAAAAATATGGTAATTTGTTATAAACAATGGAAAATAAAGTGAAAACATCTCCAGAAAAACTTGTACTTTTCCTAAATAATACTTGTAAATACAGAACAAAACAAACACCAAAATAATGGCACTCTTTAATACTGTTCTTCTGGTAAATCAAACCCCAACATGTGAAATACGTGCTGGGCAGGAACTGCTGTGTTTAACACAGCTCATGGGAGCAGATGAACTGAACCTGTCAGGCAAACACAGCTGGTTCCTGGGCCAGGCACTGCAATCCCAGCCCATCTCCCTCTCTCTCAAGAGGCCATTCAGGCACTTCCTCTCAGGGCTGTGTCATAGGGAGGTGACACTCAGACATCCTTCATCTCTGCAGCTTACTACAGCCTGTGGGCGTGACAAATTCCTGCTGGTAACAACAACCCTAAAAACTATAGCTAAAAACTATCAATTGATTTAAAGCTCTTTTGCTTCCTGACCCATATGAGGGACATCCTGCAGGGATCTCTACTCCAGTGATCCATTCAAGAAACATCCCCTTCCTAGGCAGCAAAATCCTCACTTTTTTTTGGGATGGGAAACTGTAAAAATTCCAAGGTTGTGGGGCACAGCCCACAGAGCAGGAGCTGACAGCAGAGCTGTGCTTGCAGGCAAGGCGGGCTTTTGTCCTTCCCCAAGCCAAGCCTGGCTGCTGGAAGCCCTGCAGAGGTGGTGCCCAAATGAAAAGCATCTCTGACCATGCAGGCTGCAGAGTGCTCTCCTAAAGGACAGGCAAAAAGCAAGGCTGGCTCTCCACGCGCTGCCTGGGAGGATCCACACAATGACATTTTCTTGTTGCCCTTTGGAAATGCTCCTGAAATGTCAGTTCCTACAAAACCTCAACTTCACATATCAATAAAATCTAACAAGCAAGAAAAGGAACAAAGAACATTTACAAGAATTTTTCCATCAACTGAAATACCTGTCCAGACTTTGAAGTTAATATGCAACTAACCTATTACAGGGACTGTCTAATCACAGCATCCTTAAGAGGATCAGACCCAACACAGCTTAATAAAAAAATCCACAGTGAAGTTCAGAAGCACAAGCCAAAACCCTGGGCTGTGATCCTGACTGTGACAGTGACTCACATCAACAGTGGCCCAAGAGTCACTTCCTATATCCTCATTTGCAGCTTGGGATAATGTTCTTCACAGTGCATTGACCAGGATTAACTAGTTAATATGCTTCCACTGAGCTTTAAAGAACCCTTCTTTGTTTCCTAAGCATTATTTTAATTCCACAGTACTATAAGTGAACCACTAGGAAAATCCTTAAGAGTTAATCAGCAGCCAGTTGTGGTTTTTTTCCAAATAGGTCACACTTGCTATTGGTTCTCAGCAGCTACAGCACTTCTAAGTCTCATAAGCAATAAAATCTCCACCCTTTGGCAGCAAAAAACCTACACTTAAAATATAATTTTCTCACAGACAAATGCTTGAAAAAAAAAAAAGAGTCAGTTTGACTTCGTACCTGTAAGTTTTCTTTGTCACATTTATGAATTAAGGCACACTCTCTCACCACAGATTTCCATTTTCTGAACGTGGTGCACTTTTGTTATGTTCACAGGCCCTGTCAAGCCTGTTGCACTCTGTGTGATTATTCACCCCTCCCCAGCCTTGGAAGACCCCACAACAACCACAGTGGCACTAACATATTAAGGCACAATGAAGAACAGCAGGCAAACAATACAAGGATATGTAAGAAATGTCAGTTCCCAGCTATCCTGGGCAGCAGGCACTAAAGTGCTTCACCTAGAGCAAACTGGATTGTTCCAAACAGAGGGAGGAATAACCAGATCCCAAACTCTCAGTTAAGGCTGTGCCCAGAGGCAGAGCCTCCAGCACACAAAACCTATGGCAGCAGAACGTAGCTGTGACAATGAAAGCAAATACATTGTAAAGATAAGCAAAGCTGACCTGAAATTGAAGAAGTGTTCTTTTTCAGTGAACTATCAAGCTATCATATTAACAACTGAATCTTATTTCTGTGCTCCTTTAAAGAGGAATATCCATCACTATTAACTCTATTGCAGTAGTACCTCAGGACCCCAGAAGAGCTCTGGGTCCCACAATTGGTTTTATCTTAACAAAAAAATTACTGAAGCTTGGTATAAACCGGAATGAATAATAAGGATTGTATCAGCCAAGGAAGAGTTCATCTTCCAAAGTCTCTGTGGATGCCACTGCACACAGCTTGCACTAGAACAATGTGTATTTTCTCCTTTCTGTGTCTGTAGCTGAATCACCCTTTGTTTCTGCGGCTCATGAAGATCTCCCGTAAAAGTGCAACAGCAGGAGAGTTACCTACAAACATATAAACTGAAAGAAGAAAAATATTATATGTGGCTACTTGCAGATGTCTTTAGAGTTACAAATTGTGATTGAAATATTCTTGGGAAAAAAAGACTAAGTCCAAATTTCAAAATGCTTATTCAAGAAAGGGGATGAGTTTGCCTTCACTTCCCTAAGGTCTGCATCCCTGGCACATCCCAGGGAGGTGAGCATGGTACACAAACCTCTACTTAACTGCTGGAGACAGCTCGCTCCTGGTGGGATTTACCAAATTCCCATAGAGCATCTCCCTACCTTGTATCTGTCCATAGGATCCTCCTGCTGCAGCTGGCTCTCTCGCATTGTTTGGTACTCTCTCTCATATTTCTTCAGCTTTTTCGTTGGCACCTGTGGAGCAGATTTGGGAAACATGCGTTTAAAAATGAGACGAATGCTGGAAAAGCTGACTGAAAGCTCTCCCTACCAACAGGAAACTGAGGAAGTGCTGGAGAGCTGCTGCTGAATAAAGTCTCTCCCCACTGTCCCCCCTCCCCTAGTCATTAAGCCCTGTCAAACACTTACCAATACAGCTCACATCAGAAATCTTTCTGTGCCCACTGCTGCTAATTATTCAGACATTTAAAGGGAAACAGAACTGGAGACATTTTAGTAAGACTAACAAGAAGAAAAAAAGCACAGACAAGTGGGAGAAGAGGAAAGAGGAAAGCACATTTTGATACATATGATTCACCAAAACAATGCTTTAGCAAGACAACTGTTAAAAGTGAGATGAGAACAAAGGAGTGCTCATACAAAAGGACCAGACAATTCCCTGGGGGAGATCCAAGTAATGGTTTTATTGCTGAGAGAGTATTAATGTCTAAATTACAGCCTGCGACCAATGCCCTCATGAAGTCTGGCATCAAAACCCTCCCAGGCACAGATGGAGAAGCTGCGGTGCAAGCCAGCAGAGAGAGGTGGCTCAGAGAAATCACAAACAAATTTGGTAAACAGCCATGCAGAAAGGTCAAAACCCAGGCTGCTGGATCCTGGGAACACTTCCACTTCAAACACTGATCAGGAGCCTGCGTTCTTTTCAGCAAAGCATGGGGAGCCTCTGCTTTCCCCTCACCTTCTGGTTGGGTATGCAGTGCTCCCATCTGTCCCTGGAGACCTCTGGCAGCATTACTCAGGTCACCTGCTGGCAGCTGGAGAGATCCCTACTGCCATGTACCACCAGGAGTATGAACACAGGCTCTCCTTGATCTGTCATGCAGATATTCCTATCGCCTGTATTGATCATGTTTAGCTGCCCCTGCTGTGAGGACATGCCACTGTCACCTTGCCTTAGGGCAAAAACTACAGCCAGTGAGCAGAGATCTGAGTTTCTGTGTAGTTTGGGAGCTGTTTTCTCTTTGCTGGTTGTCAACCCTCTTTGCTCTGCAGCACCCAAAGGGACCAAGCAAGTGCTCAGCACTGCTGCAGAGGGAGGTGCAAGTAGCAAACATGAAACCCATGACCTGCAAAGCATTAATAAAGCAGCACCAATTCCCACAATTACTGATGGAACCTGAAATCAGCCCCCTTAAAGCAAACAAAGAGAAAATAGTAAAGATAAAAACATGAAGTGGATTGGGCAAACATACAAGAAAATTTCACTCTGATGACACTTAATAGGGCAAAACACCATGAAATGAAAGTGATTAAATAAGAGATGCTTTTATACCTTTCAACTGAATAATCCTCCTAACACAAACCCAGCCAACTTTGTCTTGGCTGCAGCCTGAAACTGTTGAGGCTATTTAATAATTGTAAGAATTAGAAATAATTTCAGTATAGTGTTTTAAATGAAACAAACCCATCCAAAGCCTGCTCTATCCCATCCTTTCACCAGAATTACTGGACTTTCATTTAGAGAACCAGATCAAAGCTCTCCAGCTGAGGTGTGATAAGGACACCCTCCAAACACAGTTCTCAGGTTCTGCTGTGGAGTTTTGTGCTCCACTATGCAACCACCAGGACATAAAGATAAATACGAGGGAGATTTTGTGGTGCAGCATGGCAGAAAGGCACAACACAGGTGTAACTTAGATGATGATTTGTTCAACCAAAGATGTTCCTGATTCTTGATGCTTTTCATTGAAACTTTTAAAGTGCATACAAGAACTAAGTTTCACTACACAGTGAGACAGACAAGACTTCAGTTCACACAGTGAGTGCTTCAGTAAGAATCCTGCCATCAGATGGAACAAGAGATGAAAAATAGATTTTGTGTCTGTAAATTGATTTTGTGTGTGTAAATAGGGAGATAAAGGTGGAAAGTGAAGGTGAAGATTGCACAGTCCCAACCCTTTACCCCTCTATTGTTATGTGAGCAGTGCTGCGCACCTTAGCCTGGCACTGGGTGATGGGGGCTTCCTCCTCTCACAACTACCAACCATTTCTTAAAGCCTGCTAATTCATTCCATCAACACTTCTCATCTCTATGCTCTCCTCGCTTGTATTTCAGTTCCCAGCTGTGAGCAGGACCACGTGTGGGTGCTCTGGGGCCCTGGAGGGATCAGCTCCCTCATTTAGCACCACAGAGCGATCCACAGCCATGGGCTGGGCTGAGGGTTGGCCTGGCACCCTCTCCAGCAAGGAATCAGCACAGCAACACTTTCCTGGGAATACAGACAGTAAATAATATCTGAAACAAGCATCAGATCATGCAAGTATCAGGCGTGACATAGGAAACAGCTTCCAGCTCTTTGAAAGGTGATAGTGACTGATGTTAGTATCTATTTATGATACAAACCTTAACTGGGAAGTACCTAAACACAGTGAAAATCTATCTTAAGGGGAACTCCCACCACAAACCAGTCCAACTAATCCACTTATCTTGTAAAATAGAAACTGGAGCAAGTATGCCCCAGAACTTTGGCAGGGACTACACAGCTACTGTCTATTCAGCCACATTTCTCAAAGGAGTTTGGTAATTTATTACAGCACTTTCTTCTTCTGAGTATACACTAATAAATGGAAAAAAGGCATTTAAAAGCCCATTTCCATATTTCCCAATTTAATTCCCTGAAATAGTTTGTGAATTCAACAAGGGATTTCTCAGTAAGCACTTCCATAAGTAAGTGCACAGTGCTGGCTATGCTTCAGTCTTCATGAACTGATCCTGAACAAAGTGCTCATAAATTCTCTGTAAAAGCTTCTGCAATATTGATTCATTTTTTCTTTCTTTAGCACCATGGGGTATATTGGCTTGAACTGATACTTATCAAATTTAGGAGACTCTTACAGTGTATAAACATTCCTCATAATTGTTTATCTCAATATCTTATCTCATTGAATTGTTTTATTTTATTGCCTTCAAGTATAAAATCATGTTATAAGTAGTTATATGCAGGGAAACACCCATGCAGAGCATCTTAATAAAACATCCACACAGAAGAACTGAACAAGCAAAACCTCTTCCTGAAAAAACCCAATGGCACCAAACGCTCGAAGGACTCACTGCATGGTGGGAGAGAAACAAAACCATTTTGGTTTGAGCTGCCCCTCCCTGCTCAGACAGGGCTGGAGAGATTTGCTTCAGTTCCTGGCACTCCTGGGCATGCACAGTGCACATCAGCACCTGCTCAACTTCAGGAGACCCTTCCCTCACTCTGATTCCTTCAGCTGTTTACAGGCTGACCTTGCTGCGTTCATAAATCACACCTGTGACTGCTTCCTGCCCTGTGTTTTATTGCTGTAATGCAGCTGCAGCACTCAGAGCAGGCAGTTATGGCTCTGCTCATTTGACAGCCAAGGAAATGGAAGCAGAGATGGGAAGTGATTTCCTGAACATATTGCAGACAGCCAGAGGCTGATCCAGATAGTGAAACCCTATTACTTGATTTCTGATTTCCAGCACTGAGCAGGGGATCTGTTTCCCAGCTCCCCACTTCCTTTCTCTAGCATGCATTAACACTCCAAAAATACATTGTCCCACCACATAAAAATGTAGCCAGTATTCTCTATCTCTTCACTCTTAACACTTTGTTCTCTTTAGTTCTCTATCAGTGTAAAAAAAAAAAGAAAAAAAAAAGCAAATTAAGAACCTGTGCAGTGCCTTCCTTTCTCATTCTTTGAAGCAAGCAACACAATTTTCTGTTTCAGTGGTGATGGATTTGCTTGGTAATTCCAGCTGAGGTGGGGGTCCTGTACCCCTGCAAAGGGGGGAGCCTCCCCAGCCTGCTTTGGGTGGGCACTGACAGTGACCACAGACACTGGGGCAGCTCAGCCCAGCCTCCCTTTTATCCATCCCACACACCTGCCCTGCTGGGAGCCCCAGCACAAGGCAGGCTCTCCCCACTGCTGCAAAGCAGGACCACTTCCAGTCTGGGGCCAGCTCAGCCCCTGCTCACAGCCACAAGAGGCTCTCACAAACCACACCACAAGTGCCTCTCTCTTGAGGAGATGGGAGTTACACTTGTGTGTACTTAATTTCCTTCACTTTATGATTTAAAACAGCATCAAGAAGAAATTTCACAATGAGGCTTGGTTCTGTGAACTTTAAACAGAAGCTCAGCAGATTAGCAATAAAAAATTTCCAATCAAATGCAGTATCTCAATTCACACTCAAAATTGTGCTATTTTGTTCCAGCTAATATCTTATATTTATCAAATATAAGATATATAATATCTTATATTTGAAATACAACTACATCAAGTTCCAGGAAGGAAGCAGCTCTATTTTAAGGAATACAGCTCTATTTAAGTACTTTATTAAGCCCAATGAAAGTTGCAGTGTAACAAAATTAGATTAAAAAACTGACTTAGTGCTATTCTTCTAACTCGTCCTAACTGTGAGCAACTGTATCATCCTCTTCTTAAAATGTGGCTGGCCAAAAGCAATGCAGAGTATCCTGCCATATCTAGGAATAAGGTTCAGAAGTAGATAAAGCCATTTGTTTTACTCCTGGGAGGAGGCAGTAATGAAAAAGAACAAACCCCACAGTACTATGCTGACACAACAGTTCAGGATTGGACTTTAAAGGGAGGGAATGGGATATTGTATTTAGCTATTATGCAGTGTAATCTGAACAACTCTATCTCCAATGAGATCTTAGCCACAAGCATGAAATCTGAAAGGGAAAATTGTAATTTTTCTCTAAAAACCTCTGTTTGGGGTGGGTATTCTGCACAGAAAACCTGCAACATCCATTTGTAACAATTAATGTAGGATTGACATCAGCTGTCTAAAAAGAAATTCCAGGCTGGAGCACAGCTTGAACAATTCCCAACTCTCCTTTGACACCAGGCAGGTAAGGGCTCACTGGCAACAGGCTGTTTTAGCAGTCTGAAAGCCCTGGAAGAGCCCTCCTCCAATGTTTTCACCATGCTGCAGTATCCACTCATCCCACACATCCTGCATC